AAATTTATGGAGGTGGGCCGTGAGGCTGAACAGGTTGAGAACCACTATTCTAGGCTTTGAGTGCTGTATTCTCCTGAGCTCTTAGAGCTCTGACACTTGTTTTATAACTGCAGCCTGGTAAAATAGCCACTGCAGGGGATCTACAAAGGCTTTTATATAGGTCGCCATGGCATCATTATTGTCATTAATTTGATTGGTTCTGGAAAGAACTATAAGAAAGCATTGGTCTACACATGGGGATGGGAGACGAAAACTAAAATCGCGGGCTCAAGGTTACATGAGGCAGACTTAGTGTATGACTCAGATCCCACTGCTCTTATTTCTGTGCCCCCTTGGGCTTCATTGGTTGTCTAATAGAAAAGGGTTTTAGAAAATAAAGTCTCCGCTCTTTGCAGACTTATCAGGAAACCCACTGTGATGTGTTGGTGGATTATAATTTTAGCTAGGTATTAGCAGCAGGAGCCCAGGAGCAATGAACAATTGCAAATATATTTTCATGCAAATCTATTTAATAATAAAGAACAAAAAGAGAAATATAAAAAATTCTATAGGGGGTCTATTGGAACGTTATTTTAAAGCTGTCTTTTATTTGGCATGAAGTGAATTAAAAGCATGAAACTTAACAGCTTCCTCCTGAAACATGGGCAGAGACTATTCTGTGGCGCTCTTAGCACTGGAATCACCACTGGGGGTAGTTTTGGAGGGAATGGGCAAAGATTTGGTAGAGTGCAAAACACTGTGAAGAGTTCTTACTAGGACAGGACAAGTTTTAAAGGCATGAGCCAAGACACTTCCCAAATGAAGTGGCAGTGCTTCATCTGCAATGCAGATCAAAATGTAAAAGAGTCTACTTTGTACAATGTGGGAATGTAAATTTTGGTCTGGAATTTAGGGCACCAACAGCTGTGCTAAAATATGTCGCTGTTGGCACAATCCTTCCCAGGACATTACTAATAATTAGAGTACTGCTGCAAAACTCCAATTCATATCTGCACTGTTTACAGACCTCTGACAGTGCCATTAGTTCAGTATATAATTTAGTAGTAAGCTAATAAAGAGATGTTCACCCCATTAAACAAAACATGCTTTCTTTGGAGACAACCATAAATTAGAGCATGAATTATTGTCTGCACATTCTGTCCTAGTCCGTTAGGAAGTTTATGAGCTTACTAACCGAATACATGTGTGTATTAATTTTGTGCTACCATTAAAGAAAAAAAAATAGTATGAATCCAGCTTAGGAAGACTTTTCAGCTTCGTAAGAGACATGTATAGGAAAAATCCCCATACTATAAATGGGGTAACAAAGAGCATGAACCCACGTACCACTTGTACATGCTTTCTATGGTTCTAAAAATTGCTTTCTTCAAATGAGCATGTAACTGCATTCACTGGGACTTAATCTGTTCGAATGATCACCTTGTCCTCCCGCTCATCCAGGTGAAATGCTAGCAATGAGCAATTCTCCTTTCTGCTGCTCTGACCACATCATTCTTCTCTCACATGATCTCTCCATATATTTCCTCTCTCCGTGTAGAATTTGAGCTCCTTACCCGGGCTAGAAGTTATTTAGGTAAACTAGATGTTTTCAGTCAGAGGGGCCTAACAGGGTTCATCCAAGTACTCAAGGCATTGGTTGGAGTAGGTAAGTGCAGAGTTGTTGGTTTATAATCTTTGAGGACTGTGGAGGTCAGGTGAGGTCCCAGAAGGCTGAAAAATAGCAAATATAGTGCCTGTATTTTAAAAATTGGAAAGAAAAGGATCCAGGGAAATGAAAGGCCAGTCAGTCTACCTTTGATACTCATACAGATAATGAAACATATCATCAAACATTTGGTTTGTAGGCACCTCTAAGATAGCAGAGTGAGGTGTTCACCTATGGTCTGTTCTGGGTCTGATCCTGTTCAATATTTTCATGACTGCCTTGGAGAATGGCATTGCATGTGCACTTATTAAATTTGTAGGTGACACAAAGCTGGATGGGGTTGAGGCATGCTAGAGAGCAGGATTAGGATTTAAAATGACAGACATATTAGAAAAGTAGGCTGAAATAAATAGGGTGAAAATCAATCAGGGTACATGTACAGTATTGCACTTGGGAAGGAACAGTAGACTGAATAAATACTAAATGTGGAAAGACACAAACATGGATCACAAGCTGTATTGTTGCAAAAAAGGCCTAATTACATACTGGGATATTTTAATAGGAGTATCAAGTCAAGGAAAGCAATTCCTCCGCTCTATTCAGCACTAATGAGGCCTGTCCAGTTTTAGGCACTGTGTAGCCTACTGACAGACATGAAAAACAAAACAAAACAGTGCTTCACTGGAAGAGACATCATGTCAGCTTGACTGCACTCACCCAACGTCTGTATGGATTGTGCACTTTAATGGGGCTTTTTGGTGCTTTTATCTAATAGCGGATTAGATCTAATAGCTGAGAAATTGTCAGGTCTCTACAGAGTCTAGCGTGAGTCAGAAAAACAATCCACAGCTGATTCAATCAGCTCTTAGATGAAGGGCCAAACAGCCCTGCTGAAGTGTGCAATCTATACAGATGTTGGGTGAGCCAAGTCAAACTGATGCGATGCTTCTTCTGGGCATGCGCTGTGCTCCATGCAGGGGACACGCCAACCTGAAAGGAAAGTGCTGTCTTGTTTTGTTCTTTTTTTCCACGTTTGTAAGCAGCTGACGTTTCAAGAAAGTCGAGAGAAGAGCAAAAAAATCCTTTAAGGTCTAGAAAATGTGACGTCCCATGAAACCCTGGAAAAATTGGGATAATTTTTGTCTAGAGAAGAGTGAGGTTCAGATTGTTAAGTCTTAAATACAAAAAGAGGAAGGCAGTAAATTTTTATTTGGTTTCCAGAGGAGTCAGGATAAAGTAGTAGAGCTTAATTTGCATCAGGGGAGATTAAGGTTGAATATTGGGAAGACATTTTGAAAATGATGAGTGTGATTAACCCCTGGAGCATGTTCCCTACATACATTGTAGAAACTGTTTCTATAAGGTTTTTTAGAAAAGCATCTATCAGGAATGTTAGGCAGGGATGTTCCTTGAGGAGGAGGTTGGATTAGGTTGTCTCCTGAAGTCCCTCCCACTGACTATTTTAGCAGGTTGTCAAAAGTTTGCTGAGCAACAACAGTGTGAGATGAGAAATAGTGATTTTTTTTAAACAGTTTACTTCTCACCTAAACACGAACAGATTTTAATGGGATAAATAAAAGTCAATTCTCTAGTCTGTGAGCTTTCTCCTGTACTGAATTTCAAAAGCCTGTTGGCAGCAACAGAGATGCTAGAGCTTGTCAAAAAAGATCACAGGGATTTTTATAATGGGAAAGTGTTGGACAGCTGAAACAGAAAGATCAGTGTTTCTTCACCCCATAGCTTTGTTAATCCTTCCCTACTGGCTGCAACCGTTGCTTCTGCGCAGTGGTTGAGCATGTCAGCATTACTCAAAGCCCTAGACCACTGCAGGTACATTATGACCTATCGGCTTCATTATTTAATCCAACAGGACTGAAGTGATTAATAAATCTATCTCACCAATTCTATCATATGCATTTAGTACCCATCTCCCTAGAAATTATAATAATAGCCTGAAAATGCTGCAACCAGCAGAACAGCGCTATGAGGCCAAACCCAAGTGACTGTTTCATCAGCATCTCTGAACTGCAATTGCAATTACAATAATCACTTATGTGGGCCAAGAAAGCTTCTATGATTATATAGCTGGGAAATCACCAGGTCTCTACAGAGTCTAGCATTAATCAGGAAAACATTACACAGCTGGCTCCGTATAAGACAGCCATAACTCTGTAAGGGTCTTCCAAACTCTGATAGTACATCTGCACTGCATCCAGGGGGGAGTTCTCCTCAGTTTACACTGCCCACATGATTCAGATCGAGAAGCCCACTCCTGAATATCCCAAGTGGCTCCTCTTAAACACTGAATATGGGTATCCCCTCCCCGGGAGCACAGGACTTGGACCCTAAGTGCCTTTCCATTTCTTCCACTTTCCTGTAAGTCTGAGGATAATGGTTTGAATAAAATAGGACTTGACTTTAGCCCCTGTTAAACAGTTGAAACCCAAACCAAGCCCTTTCTAATGGAAGAAATAAAGCTTTAATGTTTAAAATGTGTATATTTTTGGTTGCCTCCTTGCTTCCTATATCTGACAAGGGAAGGGAATACCACAGCACTGAAAGACAGGCAGGCTCTGAGTTATTTTTTACGCTACTGGGAGTCTGAGCTGTAGTTTCAACTTTGGGACTTTACCCAGAAAAAATAGGACCACCTTTCCTGAGGCTTCTCTAGCCCTCGACTCCCTTCCTTCACTCTCTATTCTTTGCCTTGCATTGTAGGTGTTTCCGGGGGCGAGCTGTGAAATTTCCTGGCATATGGCATGCAGGTCTTGACATAAAATTCATGTTGTGCACACATTTGCTTTTGTTCTGACATGCAGCTTCATGCTATTCTGAGTCACGTCATAGCCAAAAAGCAGAGTAATTCACTTTGCTGATTTGCATGCTGTGTAAGAAGCGGCAAGTCCCACTGCCTAGCTTAAGTATTTAAACTGGTGTTGGTGCTGACAGATGACGATGGTGACGGTTGTTCAAGGTGACATCAAGTAAGAAGCTGGAGTTGTGTCTTGTGATACGTATTACTTTGGAAAAGCTTGACTTGATCAGTCCAGCACTGAAGGGATTGTTTTCTACCTGTTAGTGTAGGAGTCAGAGAGTCAGAGCTCCTTGGCTGTTTTTCTCTCAGCTTGCGACACTTGATATTTGGCAATGCTTTTGCTCCTTTGTGCTCATGTTTCTCCATTTGTAAAATGGGTACAGCGATCATTATCTTTGCCTCACGGAGTTGTTGTGCATCTTAACGTGTTAATGTTTGCCAAGCACTTCAAGGGCCCCAGATAAAAAGTGCTTGTAAAAATAGACTCTGGAAGAGCCTTCTGGGTTATCTGTTGCAACTGGTTTTCCTGCACCAACATGAATATGCTTCAGATAGTGTTAGTTTCGGTTGGAAGGATTTAACTAAAGGTGAAGAATAGCTAAAGAGCTCGTGTTACATCTGGCAGCTGGAACATTTTGATTCAGAGGCAAGTTTTCCATTCCTCTCTCTGTGGACCAAGAGGGACTGGACCAAGGTGTCAGACCCTGTGGCTTGGCCCCTTGTGCATAGGGAGAAACAGCAGCAGCCACCAGGAGCCTGAAAGAGGTGCACTTTGAAATCCCCACGTCCTCGGAGCTCCTTTCTCACAGATCAGCCAGGAGCAGCTACAGCTGAATGGTCGGAAGGTAAGGCGGAGGTTTTTAGCTCTCCCTGTCCTGTGCCCTCCCAGAGATGCTTTCTCGGGGCTTGGGTCTTCCTTCACTATGTGGGGAGTAACAGCTGGGAGGAGCTTCCTGATCTTCTAAGGACCATGGTTATTCGACTCAGACTCATCAAGGTTCCCTTCCCCCCTCTACCCCGCCCTCGTTTTCCATCTCATCATAGCCAATTGGCCCTCTTTAACACAACCTGCTCTGCTTCCTGTAGCCCATCGCTACCTAACGGCATCTTCTTGCTTTTCTCTCTACCTCTCCTGTGCACAGTGTCTGGCTTCAAGGACCAGTGGTGAGGGGGAGTTTTTCCCTTTTTTTTCTCCTGCCCACCAATAGAAGCTGCCATATTTTCTGCTTGCCAGACTTGTATCAGACCCCTTCTGACCTCTGTGATGGGACTTGGACTGGGGAAGAGATTTAGCGAATGTGGTATCTTTAGGTTGACCAAACAGGAAAAGCAGCAGAGATGAGAGTGCCTAAGACTGGTGAGAGCGGAGTCGGAGGATAGATGGCAGGACAGAGGAGAGGTTAGAAGGTGGTCAGAACTAGAGATGCTGAAGCATTGGAGATGGTAAGGATGAGATTGCGGGTGCGGGAGGGAAGAGGGGGCAAGGTACCAACTCTTTTCCCAGTAAAAGGGGGAAGAGCTGCCCCTGAAATGATTGCAAAAGATGCAAATTAAAGAAAGCCTCCATTTTCTAGTGGCCGGTGAGTATGCAAATTAGCACATGGCCTCACACAAAATTAGATCTTGAGGGGGTTTTTTGGTGCTACAGGGAGGTTTTCTTCAATCACTCCATTGCCCAACCTTACTTTCTTGGCTATGATGCTTCTCATCTTCCAGGCAGCCCTCTTTCCCCGCCACCCCCACCCATCTATCCATTGTCCCTCTTTCGTCAAACTGTCTCTTTCTCTGCCACTGTACGTCTTCATTGCCTTACTAAGAGTATGAGCAGACATACTGCTGTACCTTTTAAGGGGAGAAGACTTGCTGCTCATCTGCTGCTGTCATCTCTTTGCTTCTAACTCACTGTAACTTAAGCTAAACAGTCATTTCCCACTGCTTTGATTCACCTACTGCAGGTTAAAAGCAGGCAGATGGAATGGGCGCACTGGATTCACCTACATCATCATAAGGGTCGGCCATGTGCCAAAGAGGTGTAAATGTTCCATCTGTTCACATCCTAACAGTTTCATAATATAAAATAAACACTCAAATTAATTGGATAGACTTGACTACCGTGTCTTCCTAACTTGTCTTTGATCTGTGTTTCGGTTTTCTGTCTCTTCAGGACAGGGATTGTGTTTGGAATATAACTTAGATCAGGGCTGTCCATCTTCTAAGCAGGTGAGGGCCAAACACCTTGCATCGGGGGGGCTGCACACCCATGGATGACATCAGGGTAAGCCACAAGCCTTCCCAGGCTGCAGGCCATACAGACATCTCTGCTGTATCACATAGGTGCTCCTCCGCGCTGCTACATTTTGTGCCCCCTATCCCTGCAACTGCTGCACAGTGCACCTGCAGGGCTCTAGGTTCACCTTCATCTATCCTGGCCGTGCTGCTCTGTACCACCTCACCCTGGGACAGGAGCAGACACCCAAAGTCAGAAGAGGAAGGAGGAGGCCAGAGACTCTAGCTACTGCTGCAGTCAGAGTGATGGTGGGAAAGTTGTCTGGGCAGGAGCCTGGGAGCCACAACTTAACCCAATTGCACAGTTGGCTGTTTCTTGATTTACAGCTAAGTATTTAGGCCAGAGCCAGGCAAATATTTTTTTTTCCACTTCAGCAGCTGAACCTCTCATTGAAAAAAATGCAGTTCAAATCCCAACAAACATATATATTGTTAAGATATGTTAATACATAAAATATATTAAATATGTTAATTAATATATTAGTATATAGATATATAATATATTGTATTGATTATATATATATATTATATATAATATCATTGTCAATATATGCATTACTTCTTTATTTATTTATTTAATTTATTTATTCCTCCTTTACAAAATGAAAAAAATGAAAAAATCCAGTTGATCTAGAACAAAACATTTCTTGTTTAAGTATTAGTCTAAAAAACAGAAAAAAAAGCAAAGGATATGAATGTCTGATTTTTTTAAAGAAAAATTTGCCAGCAGCAACTGCCTCTATCTTTTTTTTCCTATCACTTTCTCTTCCCAAGAAAATACCCTGTACCCTCTATCATCAGATATTTTGGACTGGGGGGGAGCTCTGTTTGTCCTGTTGATGCTTGCCCACTTTGGATAATTCAACACTCCCTCTCATAAAGCCTCATAAGTACTAATGCTAACTAATTCAAATTATATGAGAACTTGAAAACAACAAAACTGTTCAAAGCCTTTTAACTGCTGATATATCTTAATATACCTTAATATGTGTATTTCCTTATGGTTATTTAAAGTATGCTCATTCTGATTCTGGGGGCTTGGTCAAACAACAACCCAGAGCTTAAAATGGTAATAAAATACATATAATCTTAAGATTTTTCTCCTCTGCATCCTCTGATTGTTAGCCAAAAAATGCTTACAGTAGAATAGAGTAGAATAGAAATCCTTTTACCATACTTCACCCCAAACCTTGCAACAAAAAGTATTTAGCTTCTAATAGATAAGGAAAAGGGTGCTCTAGGGTCCCCTCACAGAGATGAATTCAGCTGATATCAGTTGACAGCATGTCACACAAGGAGATTAGCAATTTCTCAGATAGCCAAAACTGAAGCCTTTCAGTGGTTCCTAGAGCTCCTTTCCCAAGTCACATACATGTTAAGAGTAAGAAATCTTTAACTAACCTATCAGTGGTCATATCTACATGAGATGCTATGTTGCCATAGTGATGAGCTAGGGCAATGTAGCTCATTTCTATAGTGATGTCCAGTTGGAGGGCAGGAACCATGACGCTGAGGCTACTGCGCTGTAGCAACGAGCTAGTATAGTAGGATCGGAAATAACCCGTGTACTGCTGGGACTGCGCGGTAACGGCAGTTACTGCACAGTTGGGGGCACGTGTAGATGCACCCAGTATGATTTCATGGTGGTTCATGCTAAGGCATAGCCATAACAGTCCTGACCCACCCAACTCAGTCACTGTGTGAATGGAGTTTAATTAAATCTAATAAGAGGCTGTTCTAGTTTTCTATCAGCTACCTTGAAGAGAAGATAAATAGGGATGATATGTAATATTTCAAGGTATAAATAGTTTTAAAACGGTTGCAATACAAAGAGTGAACTGTGCTGCCAACCCTTTAGTGATGGCCTGTCTACCATAAATTGGGGCCTGCCCAAACATCCATTCGTAACTATACCATCGGCTCATGCCTTGCCCGATAGGCCTCATGTAAGTTTCAAATCAAGCCTGGCAAAAAAAAGCCCAGGAACTCTAAATGCAAACCCAGTTCTGTTCCAGAAAAGTTTTGGTTGTAACACAGGCAAAAACTCAGGTGAGAACTTCTTTGCTAGGGATAAATTCTGCCCTTTGCCAAATAGTGCAAATGCCAAATCAAAGCATATTTCAGCATTCATTGCCTATGACAGAGAGGATGTACAGTTTGAGGGATCTACTGATAGGGTTTGAGAATCTGGCCTCAAGTTGCTGAAAATTAGAAGTAAGTTTATTGAAACCAGCAATCCAGGCAGGATTGAGGAGCAGGAGAATCCAGTCCATAGGTCTGTCTGAGAGGCGTATGAACATAGGGCGAAACACATGGTCAGTCTCTAGTCAATAGCTAGCCCAGCATAGGAAGGTACCTTTGTTGCTGTCGCTGTGGCCATAGCACCCCAAATGCTGTAAGTCGGGGCACGGAGAATTCTGAATAAACACAGATCTTCCAAACCTCATCTCTGAAGTTCTGCGGAAAGGTGAGAAAATGCTGACAGATTAGACAGAAAAACAGACTAAATTCTACACTATATGTAGAACGTTTTTATGGCTTGTTCCTCATGTTATGGCACCTTAAATTGTGTGTACATGTAGCACCCTTCCTATTTATGTGGCAATTAGCATGTTAACTGCAGCACATATATAACATGTAGAGTGGGCCTGAGTGACATGTCTGGTCCCCCCTCTTCAGTGTGTCACAGCCAGGTGGTATTTGTAACTCCAACCTTTGTTTAAATAATTAGAATATCTTTCCCTCTTGAACTGAAACTAGTGATATGTAAAGATGCAAAGTACAGTTCATAAAGTTAAGGCTATGCATATAGCAGCATTTTAATAGATGCAGTCTGTTGGCTTTGGATTTAGGATCCAGATACCTTGTTCCCAGGAGGGACCCACCCTCACACTGACCATGACCTTTCCATTCGATGATAGGCAAATGTATTGATACACAGTGATAACAGAAAAGAAGCAATGCAAACAATCGAACAATTCTATATATCGACCAAAGCCTAGGGCTGTCATCAGTGTCAAAGTACATCTGGCCAGCATGCAGTCTTCACTCTGAGGCTCTTTCTCTTAGGTGTCAGATGTCAGCTGTCTGGATGTGGGATGCTGAGGCCTCCCCACCCCCACAGTGGGGTGTATGAGATGGGTTGGTTGTATTCCCTCTGTCCATGGTAGGCTTGGAGACCCTTCCTGGGGGATGGGGACCCCTCTCAGAGAAAAGGATGGAAAGGAATAGAAGGAGGGACCCTCTGTTATTCTTATGTCTCTGCTTTTGTTTTCTCCTTCCCTCTTAATGACTCCTGATGACTCTTGGTCCATGGCTCTCTTTGGTTGGTTGTCTTTCTGTGGTCACATGTCCATGTAGCCTGCCAGGCCTTCTCCTAATTTGGTCTGTTCCCCCAAAACCAGGCCTCAGGCCCCCCTGCTCTGAGGCCTTGTTAGCTGGTACCACTTACCTCATGTTATGGGCAGTACAGTACATACTCCCCTGGTTCCCAGAATCTGTGCCCTTGTTGTGTTAGACAACCTATCTGCCCTGAAGACTGTGATCTTGTGTTATGGTA